GGACCTCCACCAGAGACCAGAAAAGTAACGATAACGATGCGACGTTCATCACTATTCAGTTTCTCGCGAGGGCGTTGTATATAGCTAGTTTATTTCTGCAGCACCAGAGCCGATATTCAGTACTTACGTATTATACACGCCAATTACGCATCGCTCCGACCCCGACAAACTACGCATGCGCAAAATCATTCACGTCGCTACCGGCACACATGAGACAGGTTCGTAGAGAGAGTCTCCAGCAGCAGTAGCGGTAGGCTGAAAGGTGGTGGTGGGAGGAAGGTTTTGTGATACTTCATAATCATTTTCAGCTGTCCTTCCATTGTAGGCCTCATTACTGGGAGCTGGTCTGGATCTCTGGAGTGAGGCCATCAGTGGTATAGACATCATCTCACAGTGTTTCATATGGGGAGACTTACGCATATGTTGCCTCTGAGAACTTTGAGAGCTCCACTGATTGATTTGTAGCTTCAACTCTAGCTCTTTATCAAACCCAATGATATTAATGTACGCGTGTATGGTCGTGCCTTGTTTTGCAGAGTAATTCCCACTGCGACTTCTCAACACTAGAATCACTACCACTATGACTGTCAGTGAAGTTATGATCATAAAGGCAACAACCACAGCCACTACTCCACCAATAATGGCAGAAGTGTTGTCCTGGCCTGCAGCTGGAGACAACTTCTATGAACCTGTCTGACACTGACATTCCGTGTGTGATGACGTGGTAGAAGTTTTTGTTTTGTCTTCACCCCTTTGTTTTTAAGATTGCTCTTTCAATTGCCATTTGACAGTTTTTTTTATAATCACTCATAACTCGTGATATGTCAACCACCCCACACCATGGTATACAAAATGGAAAATGAACACACAGTAAAAAAGAAACACAGTCATGTTTTGTGAGTGGTCAGAGAGCCTCAAACTCTCTAATGACAGCGTCACTGTGCAGCTGGGGGTCTCCCAGTACGTCAATGTATGTGTTGGGTCAAATCTTCTTGGCAAAAGTCAGTACCACATGTAGGTCTCCGTGATTGAGTGTTTTGACTGTCGCTACTCTGGTAACAGCTATTGTGTGGTACATGTTTGATAAGTTTAAGCTTATACTTTGTGTTGTACTTACCAGAAGGTTATATGTGGCCTAGTGGCTGAGCATTATTCACTATTATGTAAACCACGGTACGAAGGTTTAATAGTGGCTAGATATGTGGGTGTGTTCACTATAGCTTCACTCTTTTCCGCATGTCAGTACATCTTCATGTTCCAAGTGCCCTGGCTCATGTTGCTGCTTCACGGTTTCCCCGATGTCACCTCTTTCACTCACACATTCCCGTGATGTTATGCAGTTCTGGTTTTCCTGGCGTCATCAGTTGAGGGCCTTCAGCAAAGACTACTACCATGCGGTGGCTGTCGATATGAGGTAGTGTAAAGAAAGAGAACGATGTTTTAATGTTTCACCCCTTATTGCATAGCCATATCAAACCTTGAAGTTTAATTATCAAAAATGTTGTAAGGAACTCCCTTCATTGTGTAGCTTCTCTCTCTCCACAGACAACACTATAGAGTGATCCCCAGACCTCTACATAATCAATATGCTCTATAATTATAGAACATTCCAAGTTACGAATGTACTCTAGATAAATTTCCTCAATTTACCACTATGGTTTGTAAGATGAGTGCCCGGCAGTGTTTACTAGGTGTGTGTGTGTGTGTAACTGTTGGTACAGGGAGATGATGATCACGTGCTGCAGAGAGAGATGGCAGACTGCCACGACACCAACTGCTCTTACCTGACTGTGAAGTTAGTGGGAGATTCAGCTGTTCCACCAATACTGTGTTTCTCTTTTCTCTCCTCTCTCCTCTCTAGACATATTCCCAACTCCAGTCACTGGGTCCAGCAAGATGTGCCGGACCTCTGCAACCAGTACATGACTGACTTTCTATCTATATATTAGATGTAGTTTATGTGTACTACTGTTGGACATTACACATCATGTTATTATAAGTATACATTGATAAACGCCAGTGGAGGGCCGGAATTTTCTGTTTTCCATATATGTCTAGATTGGGAGTGTTTTATCTCTGCCATCCATCAGCCTATGTTAACTCAGTTGCTCAGTCCGTGGTTGTAGTGATGTGCAACAGATCAATGATGAGAATTGTGTCTCTGTTGAGTCTCTTCTGGTCTCTGGTGGAGGTCCACTCTCAGACCTTTCCTTATGTCTCCTTCATGGGCCAAACTCTGGCCAACCATTCCTATGTGAACCTCGGTGAAGTGGGGAGACCTGATCTTCCTGGTGGTGGTGAAGGTGTTCAGTGTATCACTGACCTGACCACATGTTGTACAAGTATTGATGGTCCTCATCGTGGAGACTGGTATTTCCCTGATGGAACTAGACTGCTTTTCCCTGCACCTAATGTTGATATCCATGAGTTTCGTGTAACTCAGAGTGTAGAGCTACGCCGTAACACTAATGCTAACTCACCAGTTGGTATCTTTCGCTGTGATATTCCAACTAATGCTGTCCATGATGTTACTGACATCTCAGTGAGAGATGCACCAGTCTATGTGGGACTGTATACTGCCACTGGAGGTAAATTTAACTTCCATTTCTTGTTAGATATCAGCTAGCATGAATGCATCTATGATTTTCCTCATTCGCCACATGAATTCCTATTTCAGTAACTCATGCACTCACTCACAGTTACTATGTTTTGCCGATTAGCAATTAGGACCCTTAGGCTTTTGTTCTTTACTGTAGGAGACATCTCAATATCTGAAGGAGTGGCATTTGACCCTAGCCAGCTGACCCTCACCTGTGTCTCCACTGGTGGACCTGCTACCACTGTCACTTGGACCAGAGGCAATGTCAATATCACTGGAAAGCAAAACGAGACTGTGTTGAATAACCCAGTGACTGCACAGTACACCCACACTCTGACTGTGACTACTGCAGGACAGTACACTTGTACCGTGGCTAATAACAAGCCCTCTTCTGATTCAGCTAGCACCTTTGTATCAGGTATATATAGAGTCAGTAATAATGTCCGCAAATCACTGTTTTGGCCAGTGTGCATGGCAGGCTGAATACTACATGAAATGCAACACATCTTTGGCAAGCGAAGCTATTATTTTGCGGTTGTTACGGTATGTGCCCCTGCATTCAGACAGGCTAGCTTTGCTCACCAATTATGTGGAATGAGGACAGAGATGCACGTTTAACTCTCAGTGTTGACAGAGCTACGGGTATATACTCTCCTAGTGCTTGTGAACCAATTAAAGTTTGGCAATAAAGTAATCCGCTCAATATTAATAGTTGCAAAGTGTCAAGGTGGGCAGGTCAACAGCATGATTTCCTCAATACTACAAATTGAAAGTTCCCATGGTTCCTTTTCAGGTCCCTATACACTTCCCGATGGTATGGTATCATTCAGTGGTTCGCTTTCAGGTCCCCGGCCTCCCACTGATGTGACAGCAGTCCAGGATAGTCCCACTAGTATCACAGTGACCTGGACTCCTCCCATCCCACTGGATGTACCACTGGCTACAGGATCTCCTTCACTGGAGGCAGTGATGTGGATATTGATGGTGGCTCTACCAACAGCTACACTCTGACTGGTCTCACCAATGGACAGACTACACCATATCCATTGTAGCCACATCTGAACACCTCTTCAGTGATGCCACCACATTTGAAATCACACTAAGTAAGAGAGAGATAGGTCCTACAGTTCATCTAAATGTAATCCCCTATTCCAGTCCCAGCTCCAGGACAGGTGTTTGTGTCAGTGAGCTCCATAACAGCCACCTCCATCTCCCTCTCCTGGAGTGTGTCCAGTGGGAGGGTGGCCAGTTGGGAGGTGGTCTGGAGACCCACTGACAGAGGCACTGAGAGCACCAGTGGTCCTCTGTCTGGCACTACCTACACCATCCACCAGTTGGACCCCTCCACTATCTTCCCCTCACTCAGATGGACTGACTGCATCGGCCACACCTTCATCGGCTATCTCCCTTGTCATCTCATGGACACTGGAGGACAGTTTGACTGCTACTTCCTACACCGTCTCCTACTCCAACACCAACACTGACTGTTTCACTCACTCCAGAAGTGATATCTCTGCTAGTGGGACATCATACACCCTGGATGGTCTAGAGGAGGGAACTGAGTATTCTATCACTGTCACTGCCACTCTGACTGGGAATGTAGGGGCTCGAGAAGGCAGCACCATGGCTACCACACTGACCGCTGGTGAGTCAACTTGTGTGTTTATCCCTCTTTATTGAACCTCCATCACTCATAGCTCCATCTGCCCCTCCTTCTTCCGTGAGAGTCTTAGTGAATAGTTCCACTAGTATCACAGTCCAGTGGGGACCAGTGGAGTGCAGGCATCAGAATGGAGAGATAACAGGCTACTGGGTGAGGTATGGGGAGGAGGGGAGCAGCGAGGAAGCCAGGAGTGTTCAGATGGTGTCAGGAGACTCCAGTGGAGGGGTCACCACAGTGTCTGGACTGACTAAAGAGACAGTCTACACACTGCAAGTGGCAGCAGTCACCAGCTCTGGTACTGGAGTCTACAGTTATACTCTCACAGTTGAAACTCCTGACAGTGAGCTAAGTGTGTGTCCTTTTTTATGCTCTTAACTTGACACTAGTCATCGACCATAGATGTCTTCCTCAGTCTGAATGGTATCATAATCCCTAATAATAGTTATGTGGATATCAGTGACATTGGCTCCAGTGATGGGACTTCTCTACTCTGTATCACTAACCGTCCTCCACCTGCTGATAGAACTAGTTCTGGAGGAGACTGGTATGCTCCAGATAGGACCAGAGTAGATGGTAATGATGTTCCAGGATTCGGCAGAAACAGAGGTCCTATGGTAGTGAGACTGAAGAGGAACACTGCTACTGATCCTGCAGCTGAAGGAATATATCACTGTAAGGTAATGGACAATACAGAAACTGAGCAGAGAATTTATGTTGGACTATACAATGGAGGAGGTATGTACTGGTCCATAAAATGTTCGTGGTGTAATTGATTCTTCATTGCAGGAGACATTACAATATCTGAGGAGCTGACAGTGGAGTCTGACCTCAATGCAGCCAGTCCTCAGTTCACCCTCACCTGTGTCTCCACTGGTGGACCAGCCACCACTGTTACTTGGACAAGGGACAATGTCAATATCACTGGAGAGCAAAATGAGACTGTTTTAAATGACCCAGTGACTGCACAGTACACCCACACTCTAACTATAGCTGCTGCAAGAGTGTACATGTGTATGGTGTCTAATAACAAGCCATCTACTGCCTCAGCTAGCATCACATTGGAGGGTACCTACTGTTGTAATGTGTCATTCAGTAATGATATTGTCTAACTTTCAGATCCCCCATCTCCCACTGATGTGACGGCAGTCCAGGATGGTCCCACTAGTATCACAGTGACCTGGACTCCTCCCTCTCCACTGGGAGATACCACTGGCTACAGGATCTCCTTCACTGGAAGCAGTGATGTGGATATTGATGGTGGCTTTACCAACAGCTACACTCTGACTGGTCTCACCAATGAACATACATACACCATATCCATTGTAGCCACATCTGAACACCTCTTCAGTGATGCCACCACATTTGAAATCGCACTAGGTAAGAGAGAGATATGGTCCTACAGTTCATCTAAATGTAATCCGCTATTCAGTCCCAGCTCCAGGGCAGATGTTGGTGTCAGTGAGCTCCATAACAGCCACCTCCATCTCCCTCTCCTGGAGTGTGTCCAGTGGGAGGGTGGCCAGTTGGGAGGTGGTCTGGAGACCCACGGACAGAGGCACTGAGAGCACCAGTGGTCCTCTGTCTGGCACTACCTACACCATCCACCATTTGGACCCCTCCACTATCTACACACTCACTGTATCAGCCACTAATGTAGCTGGAACCACTGACAGCACTCCCATACTTTTCTCACACTGGTAGTAACCCACTGCAGTCACTACTGTGCTAGATACCTCGTTTTGCTCTCAATTCCAGCCTCTGATGTTTACCAAGCAGAAAGCACTGAGACTATAAGACAGACAAAGCAATAGGTATCATTGGTGGAGTGGTGCTGTGGCACTATAAGTGCAGCTGAACGGTCATAGAGTGTGATTTGGTTCTGAGAAGTGAAGTGAATGCCAAAGACTAGGTTGGTATGCCCAGCAAAACGCTATCACTATCTAAAGCACGGTACTACCGTCATGTATAAGTTAGACTAGTCTATTATAGCAAGGTACATTTTTAATTTTCCTTTTCAGAGGGTCAGTTGGTGCTCTGGCAACTACAAATCAATCAGTGGAGCTCTCAAAGTTCTCAGAGGCAACATATGCGTAAGTCTCCCCATATGAAACACTGTGAGATGATGTCTATACCACTGATGGCCACACTCCAGAGATCTCCAGACCAGAGGCCTCATGTAGTGAAGGTACATGGAAGGACAGCTGAAGATGATTATGAAGTACCACAAAACCTTCCTCCACCACCACCTCCAGCCTACCGCTACTGCTGCTGGAGACTCTCTCTACGAACCTGTCTCATGTGATGTGGGCGGTAGCTAGTTTGCGGACGTGAATGATTTTGCGCATGCGTAGTTTGTCGGGGTCGGAGCGTGCGTAATGGCGTGATAATACGTAAGTACTGAATATTGGCTCTGGTGCTGCAGAAATAAACTAGCTATATACAACGCCCTCGCGAGAAACTGAATAGTGATGAACGTCGCATCGTTATCGTTACTTTTCTGGTCTCTGGTGGAGGTCCACTCTCAGACCTTTCCTTATGTCTCCTTCATGGGCCAGACTCTGGCCAACAATTCCTATGTGGATATCAGTGAAGTGGGGAGACCTGAGGATGGTGGTGAAAGTGTTCGGTGTATCACTGACCTGAGCACATGTTGTAGTGGTGGTCAGGGCATCCATCGTGGAGACTGGTATTTCCCTGATGGAACTAGACTGAATTTCGCTGGAGATGGTGGTAATATCTATGAGTTTCGTGCAGCTCAGAGAGTTGACCTACATCGTACGAACAATGCTAACTCATCAACTGGTATCTATCGCTGTGACATTCCAACCAATGCTGTCCATGGTGATAATGACATCTCAGTGAGAGACACAGTCTATGTGGGACTGTATACTGCCAGTGGAGGTATAAACTCTCACATAAAGTTGTGATTTGCTCTGTAGCCTACAGGGAAATTCCACGGATACCAGCAAAAAACCCTTTTTCACTACGTTAGAGGATGGAATTTACTAACCCATCTCAGTGTTTCGCACTATACAGTGCAGGATATCTGCATGTCTAAATGCTGGCTTCATGGATCTTTAGGTAGTAGTTCTAAAGTTGGCTATTTTAGCTATTCACCATGCAGGAGACATCTCAATATCTGGAGATTTGACATTCGACTCTGACGAGCTGACCCTCACCTGTATCTCCACTGGTGGACCTGCCACCACTGTCACTTGGACCAGAGACTCCATCACTGTCACCCAAGGAACTGAGACTGTGTTGAATGGCACAGAGACTGCAAACTACACCCACACTCTGACTATAGCTACTGCAGGCAATTACACATGTATCGTGTCTAATAACAAACCATCCTCTGCCTCTGCTACAATCACTGTGACAGGTATTACAGTGAGTTATGTAGCAATATGCTAAGCTGTGAATCAAATCTTAGGACCTGAGGCTCCCGCTGGTGTGACAGCAGTCCAGGATGGTCCCACTAGTATCCTAGTCTCTTGGTGTACATCCAGCAATGCCACTGGCTACACCATCTCCTACACTGGAGGAGGCAGCAGTGGTAGTGAGACTGTCAGTGGTGGAGATACCAACAGCTACACTCTGACTGCTGGTCTTACCAATGGACGAACCTACACCTTATCCATTGTTGCCACATCCAACAACCTTGCTAGTGACACTGTGACAGTTATGGCTGTTGGGTTAGGTAAGTCCAATAGTTACTTTGATCGATGATTTAAGTTGTTCTCTGTATCCTGTGCAGTTCCTGGTCAGCCAACTGCCAGTCTTAACTCCACAACAGCCACTACCATCTTCCTCTCCTGGAGTGTTCCCAGTGGCTCAGTGGTAGATGAATACGTTATACAATGGACTAGAGACACCTCAGTAGGCTGTTCTGATGAGGACGCAGGAAGTGCCACTATCACTGCTACCAGCCACACTATACCTGATCTAGAGGAAGACAGTAGGTACACCATCACTGTGACAGCCTCTAATGGAGCTGGTAGTAGTGAAGTCAGTAACACAGTGACTGCAATGACTGAGGAGGCAGGTGAGAGACTATCTACCACTGCTAGAGGTACTGGTCTATTGTATGGTCCTTTCTCCCACAGCTCCATCTGCCCCTCCGTCTCCTGTGAGTGTGATGGTGGAGAGCACAACTAGTATCACTGTCCAGTGGGGAAGTGTACCATGTATCCATCAGAATGGAGACATCACAGGATACTCAGTCCAGTATGGAGTGATGGAGAGTGGAATCACAGAGACTGTGACTGTCAATGGAGCTAGTACCACTCAGACCACCATCTCTGGTCTCATGTCATCCACTACCTACACCATTAGAGTAGCAGCAGTCAACAACCAACTCATTGGAACATACAGTAGTGCAGAGAATGAATTGACTGAAGGTGTGTATTCATTGACTGTGACTATCATAGAACAGATGTCATGGTACTACCCATGTGGAATTGTCAGGGTAATGTTTTTGATTGCTTCCTCCCCCTAGTTGCTGTCCCAGTTCTGACAGTAGAGTCCACAACAGCCACCTCCATCTCCCTCTCCTGGACCAGTGCTGGCGCAGAGGGAGTCAGTTATGAGGTGGAGTGGCAGAGAGACACCTCAGTGGGGTGTACTGATGAGGACACAGACAGTACCACTATCACTGGAGGTTCAATGACTAGCTACAATATCACTGGACTAGAGGAAGACAGTAGGTATGCAGTCACTGTGACCGCCTCCAATTCCCTCGGAGATGAAACAAGTAACCAAATCACTCCAATGACGATGGTGTCACGTGAGTGATGATAAGCTTTTAATGATGCAATACATGTAGTGTGTCTTCTCAGGACCCACTTCAGCTCCTATGTCAGTGACATCATCCAGTACCTCCTCTTCTACCATCACTGTGGTGTGGGGTGAGGTGCCTTGTGCTGATCAGAATGGAGCCATCACAGGATACTCAGTCCAGTATGGAGTGATGGGAAGTGGGAACACACAGACTATGACTGTTAATGGAGCTGATATGACTCAGACGACTATTGAAAACCTCATGTCATCCACTACTTACTCTATTGAAGTGGCAGCAGTCAATGGTGCTGGTACTGGAGAGTACAGTGAGCCAAAGAAATCAACTGACACGAGGTCTGAATATTCACATTTCATAATCTCATCATCATAAATATCATGTCACCAGTTGAGGCTCCAGTTGTGACGGTAGTTGAGTCTTCAGTGACAGCTACCAGTATACCAGTAACCTGGACTAGCGGTGGATCAGAGGGAGTCAGTTATGTGGTGGAATGGGCATATGGTGGAGAGTGTCCTGGTATCAGTGGAGGTAGTCAGAACATTGGTGTTGGTGGGGGCAGAGAGTACACTATAGAGGATCTGGAAGAATACATCACATACTCCATCACTGTCAGAGCTAGCAATTCTCTGGGTAGTGTTGATAGTACTCCAGTTGATGGAAGAACCAGTGAAGCAAGTAAGTTTACCAATTGTGTAAATTTCATTCATCATGCGTGGAACTGTAGGACCGTCTGCTGCTCCAATTGACGTGACTGCTGATGGTGCATCAACCACCATCACTGTCCAGTGGGGGAATGTACCATGTATCCATCAGAATGGGCAGATAACGAGCTACTCACTCCAGTATGGAGTTGAGGGGAGTGGGAACACACAGACCCTAATATCGACTGGAAATGGAGCTGAAATATCTGGACTGGTAACCTCTACTAAATACACTGTCCAAGTGGCTGCCATAACTTCAGCTGGTGTCGGAGAGTACAGTGACCCACAACTCATTGTCAACACGGAGAGTATGTTCTACTGTAGCTTCTCAACAGCTATCTAACTATGTTCTTTCCACAGCTGCAATCAATCTGTCCATAGTTGCTGCTACCACTACTTCCATATTGATTCAATGGGATGTGATTGAGGAAGCACAGGGATCAATAATGCCATCAGGATACAACATCTCCTACAGAAATATTGAATACACTGACTGTTTCACAGACTCTGGCACCATCTCTATTCCTACTGATTCTCTTGGAGGAAGCTACAACATAGTGGGTCTAGAAGAGGGAACAGACTATGCAATCACTGTAGCTCTCCTGATGGATGGTGCTGCTACTGATAGGAAGACTGTCCTACAGGCTACTGCAGAAGCAGGTATGTTATAGCTAACGGAATGAGTTGTTTAGTTTGTCTATCTCTCCGACAGCTCCGTCTGCACCTCCGTCTGAGGTGATGGTGACCAGTGTGACCTTTTCCACCATCACTGTGGTGTTGGGAGAGGTGCCTTGTGCTGATCAGAATGGAGCCATCACAGGCTACTCAGTCCAGTATAGAGTAATGGGGAGTGGGAACACACAGACTGTGGCTGTTGATGGAGACTCTAATGGAGGAATGGGCACAATCTCTGGACTGGGAGCAGCTACAATGTATGAGTATCAAGTAGCAGGAAGAACTAGTGCTGGACCTGGAGAATACAGTAGTCCAATGACCACCCTAACGTCAGGTATATACCACTACAGTAGTAATGCATACTCAGTGAATGCATGTGTGTGTACAATTTTCCTCTTTTAGTGGGAGCTCCAACTGTGATAGACTCCTCAGTAGGTGCATTCTCAATCTCCATCTCCTGGACCAGCTCTGGTCCAGTGGTGGAGAGATATGAGGTGGAGTGGCAGAGAGACACATCAGGAGAATGTCCCAATGAACACACAGACAGTGCCACTGTGTCTGGAGGCTCAGAGAGAAGCTATGACATCACCGACCTGTTTGGTGATAGCAGCTACAGCATCAGAGTCAGTGCAATGAATGCTGCCGGGTCTGCAATCAGTGACCCACTAGTTATATCTACTGCTGAAGCAGGTATTTCCCTGCTAAATTACGTGTGTAATGTATTGCAGCATGCCATTCTCTCCTCTCCCAGCTCCCACAGCTCCACCTGCTAGTCTTTCAGCACACCGTGTCACTCCAAGCAGTTTCACTGTGCAGTGGGGGAGGGTTCCTTGTATCCACCGCAATGGCGACATCACAGGCTACTCTGTACTGGTACGGGGTAATGGGAGCATGGATGTCAATGGTCCTGATGTTCTGACCACTGATATCTCTGGACTGGTGTCTGACACAATGTATCTGGTGCAAGTTGCAGGAGTCAATGGGCAGGGTACTGGGGTGTATCGAGACCTCACTGTTTCCACACCTCAAAGTTAGTCTGTAAACATACGCAAAAACATTATGTACAGAGACTAAGTAAGTTTAGTCATAACAACTGTGAACTTGTCAATACCATTTACATGAATGGTAATTTTGGTTTTCTGTAATCACAGCTGTATACCTCAGCATTGGTGCGGAGAACCTTCCCCACAAATGGCTTTGTAAACATCCGTCAACTGGGCAACTCCACTGATACCGGGTTGGCCTGCAAACACTGACCAATCCACAGATGGGACACCCACAGGTGAATGGTTTAACCCCGATGGAACCATGCTGAGCTTCAGCAGCTCTGAGGGGTTCTTTGTGAATGATGGCTCA